GACTTCTTTTATCATTTGGTGCCCCAGACACCACCCCGCTTCGAAAAGATTGTGAAAAGGCGAAGACCCCCTAGCCTTACTTCCTACCTGACAGAAATCTCATGTGTTACAGTACTCCCGGGAGGACCCCTCAATTTGCCCCTGTGCTGCAGCCGCCCCTTTGCGGGGTCGGCGGCAGCGGCGGCAGCCCTTAAATAATTCAAGGCAAAAACAGCTCTTCTGTAGCAAGAGAATGGGAGTTTGCAACCCCTGCTAGAATCCGCACAATGACATCCCAGAAGGATAGGGTGCTCAAGCAAGGCTGAAAGTTGGGACTCCTCATCCAAGCCATCACCCAGCATTGATGACACCTGCAGTGTAAGATCTCCACACATTCAAATTCAGAGAGTCGAAGCGTTAGACAAAAACAGTTGCTTGGAATTACTTTGTTGACTTGTGCCTGTCTGGTTCTTTAGGGGGACACAATGCGAACCATCCGGAAAGCTGCTGAAGATCTAGCACTTGCCCCTCTGTATCTCCGAGTGGTGCTAATACGAAGTTCCCTTGAGCTTCTGCGCTGCCTGGATTTCTGCTTGAAAAGGGCTACCAACTGCAGATGCCTGCTTGAGGGCGTCGACAAGTGGGCCGTTGCGATCATGGTAGCCTCACAGAGGTATCAACCCACACATGCTCAAAGGCCACAAATCCTTTTCTACATCTCAACGACACGAGCACCACGAAACCAGAGAAGCGTTCTTGGATTGATCTGCAGTCAGAGCGCTTTCTCTGCCGAGGTAGTTCAATGTGAAATCCTGCAGGGACTCTTGCCATTGAGAGCACAGATGTTTGCTCGCACTTCCACCATGAAATGCTTTTCAATGTCTACCATGTACATATATAGACAATATATACATATATATATGTGTATATCTATATGCAGTTACTTACATTTTTGTTGCTATCTATATACACGCCTGTAGAAATACTATGTCACATATATCTACACATATTTATATACATATACATGTATAGCTAGTCATTTGTTCATTCATTTATTTATGTGTGTATACCTGGTAATACATAATAAGTACTATGTGATATATATATTATGTAACATTCTTGTATATCACATGTCTTGTTTCGGAGCACCTTGGCCAGCCCCGTGAGGCCCTTCTGCACGCCGAGCACGCTGAGCCAATTGTCGTTGAAGTCTTCGGCCTTCTGTATGTGAGCTGCTTGAAACTTCCTGATGCTTAAGGGGGCAGGGGGAAGTGTTATATGTGTATATGCTGGGGATTTCATAGGGATTATTCTGAGGATCCACTCCCGCTCTCCTTTAGGCTGCAGTAAGCTGAAAAGCAGTTCGCAACTCGTCAGCCTTCTTCGAGGAGGAGTCCTCTCTGGATGCAATTTTGCGCAATTCACCAGCTTGTCCTTACTAAGAGCCATGGACCATGGCCTCCTTTCTGGTCTTCAGCTCCCTTGCCAAACCACTGAAAAGATCCACTCCGGCGCTGCGGAAGGTTTTCACCTCAGGTCCGCTCTCACTCACACGTTTCGCTGAGAGGGCACCCTCGCCTTGGTCAGCACATCCACGAGTGAAGCCTCGGCCTCGTGAGGAAGACTAGCGATGATGCGTGTCAATGTTGCCCCATCTTTCTTTCTGGAGTTTGCGTCTGGGTCGATCTAGTCACGACAGGCCTGAGACTGGGCGACCTGCTGTGAGGACCCCGAGAAGGGTCAAGGCAAAACAGAGGCCACGCGGCATGGGTTTAGGTAAATGTGGCTACGCTTTGAGCCAACAGCTGACAGCTGACTGAATGGACGAAGCGCCTCACGAATAACTATAATCCAGTCGATCGAACGCATCATGTGTACAACAGCCACGGCTTCTGAGGTCCTACCAGCATATCAGTAATTACGAAGTCGCTTCTTCAACACCAAAGCTGTAAAAAAAAAAACACTTTGCGCACGTGGCACCCTGCGCTGTTGTTGCTGAACACAAGCTGGTTGACACGCTGGACATCTGCCTTATGAACGGCGGCTGGGAGTCTGCCCCACGAAGGCCTCGAAAGTCCACTTCATCCTGCTTTACGCACGCAAGCAGCTAGTTAAAGTGCCACTGCCTACCCCTAGCATCAATTGAACGAGTGCTATTGCATAGCCATGTGTAAGCGAGTAGCCATCTTTTCGCGCACGCAATGCCACGCTTAGAATAGGACCGACTTCAGCAGGCCGCATTGCATCACATCTCGTTTCAGGGTCGCATGTCAGATTTTAGATTGCAACTTCCAGGTACTGGTAACTATCGCGAACCCTCCGAGTTCATCTTGAACAAAATTGGCACATTTCTGCATTCAAAGCGAGTACTGTTTGGTGTGAAGTGCCGAATAAGTCAGGCAAGCCCCAAGGCCAACGGAGCTTCACCGAACTTACTGGTGCTGAAGGGAGAGTAGTGGATCCCTATATTATCCCCATATATATCCCTGTAATAGTACCGATATTCACTCGCCACCGTGCCCCTTAAGCACCTGATGAAACCCAGACGTGGAAGTGTGTGACCGATATGTATGGCTCAGGGATTGGCTGCGGATGCCCTTGAGCAACAACTGTAAAGCCATTATGCCTAATGGCCCGGCAGCGACTCACATAATTCAAGAATTCAGGATATAAGGCTAGAGCCTTTGTTGTGTTTTTCGTAAGCTGCCAACTTGTATAGATCATCAGCATAGTGTGAAGCACGCGCCACGTCTTGTTGGAAAAAAGGTTCGATACAACCAGTCTGTGCTGCCATGGTTTTCTAGACAGGATGTCAGCTGGACTGAGTGATGTTCATCAGGTTATGAGCGCCCAAGCTGCGACTGCGCAAACAGCACCCGGCAATTACGGGACACTGGAGGGAGAGTACATCAGCGCAGGCATTTTGCCTCAGCCAATTGCTGTTGAAAGTGCTGCAGAAAGGATGGGCTTTATTCCAGGAGAGGATAGACAAGTTCCCGGGAGAAGTGATGCGTTGGATGAGGGCATAGGAGATGCGAATCGCCTAGGACCAAACGATCCTGGAATTTCGGAACCTCCTGCAGAACTCCGACAGCATTTATTCCGGGAAGAAGTAGAGGCCGAGGCCTTTCATACGCCTCCAAGGACTACTCGGTATGAGCTTGGGTCCATGGCTACTTGGGCCACTGGGGTCGAGCGAGCGCAGACCGGGTTGTCATGGATGGCCCGCTTGGGAGATTACATGCGTGCAAGAAGTGAGCTCCTGCCTAGGTCATGGTGGATCCAGACGATGGCAACTTAACTTGGTGGCGGAGGGCGATGTCTTCCTACCGGTCGACGGTAAAAAATCAGCGCAGGGTGGAATGGTACAGTTGTTTCCTCCTGATTTGCATGTGCATGATGGTGTTGGTCCCACAGTCAGTAAGGCAGAGGTTGGCTTCACCAGGGACATTGAGCAGATTTTAAGAACTCTCACAGAGCCGCTCAAGGTAGTCCACAATGTAAGCCCTGAGGATGTCCTGGCAAACTTTGAGAAGTGGGTCCCAGCTATAGAGAAGGAGTTGGGTGCCATTGATCATGCGGTTCGGAAGATATCTGGCAAAGAAACTGGCTTGAATACTTGGCTGAGCAATGGGGCATTTCAAAGATTGCCCACAAAGCTAGTCTTCACGGTCAAACCCGTTGATGCACCCGATCCTTCGGACCCAAGGACATGGTACAAACGCAAAGCCAGGCTGGTGGTGTGTGGAAACATGGCGGCGGACTCGGATGAGGTGACATTTTCTCCTACAGCAGCAGCCGAGCTAGTCAGAATAGCGCTCGTTGTAGCAAGCCAAAACAAATGGCAGGTGTGTCTGCTAGATGTGGTTGCAGCGTTCTTAAAGACGCCGCTTCAAGGTCCTCATGCCCCAAGGATAGCAGTACAACCACCACGCGTTCTTCAGAAGGCGGGCATGATTCCTTGGGGAGAACTATGGATCTGCAGGATCCTAACTCATGCTCTGTACGGCCTGAGGGAAAGTCCAAGACTGTGGAGCGAGTATAGAGATTCCCTGATGGCGGGTTTGAAGTTCATAGTCGGTGATGAAGAAATGTATTTTGTGAAGGGCAAGATTGAGAGCTCATGGTGGACTATTAGAGACAACCAACAAAGGGTGCTCAAAGGGTCCTGGGAATGGAGGTGGAGGTCACGTCGGGAGGGGATTTCCTTATGTCTCAACATGGCTACATCCAGGAGATTTTTGAGATCTCACAACATACCGGATACAAGGAGAGACAAGGTGCCCTTGACAAAGGACACACCAGTCGTACTTCGAAGTACAGCCTAATGACGTGGCTCCCACTGATACTGCTGTCACGGACGCCCAGGGAGTCACAGGAGAGGTCTTGTGGATTTCACAACGGACTCGGCGAGAGGTCTTGTGGATTTCACAGCGGACTCGGCCAGATCTTAGTTTTCCATCGTGTCTCATGGTGACATTGACAACAAAGGCACCTCAGACGGTACTAGATATAGGACACAAATATGAGTTTTTCATCTACAACCGGGGGGCGCTAACCTAAGCTGCAAATGGCCGTTTTTAACAAAACGGTTTAAACCGTTTTGAGTCGAGCCAGCAAAGGTCTTACTAGGTTTAGACCGTTTATTGAAGAACTGCAGTTGACATATTTGGCCTGCCTCTGAAGCCTTCCGGCCAATGAAAAAAAAACTGTTTTACAAAAAAATACGGTTTATGGTTTGGAAACAGGCACACGGCCGAAACAGCTTACTATACGCATGTGGTCATTTTGATTTATAGTCAGAAAGCCGGAGAGATCGAAGATGTTTGTTACGGCCTACGAAAGGGCAAATGCTGAGATCTGTCTTTTTTGCTGCACTGCTTGGTTCGGCTTGGCTTCAGAGCCTGGGTAGCACGTGAAAACCTACCAAAACTACCGTGAGTCTGCATCCCCATGCCTTTCTAGCTTTGTACACATATGCCACATCCTCATTCGGCTGGGCGCATCGCGAAGCCTTCGCGGTAGCACCCTGCCTGACAAAAAAATGCAATAGCTGGAAAAGCTTCCCTGAGCCGACCAAAAACTGGTGCTTCCACAACGGCTTCTGGGCGGTGGCAAAAACTACGCGGCAAGGTGGTTGCATCACCAGCAATTTCTCATCAGCACTCATCATGCTGATTTGTGGCACCACGGATCAAGTTCAAATCATCGATCATCCGTGCATGCTTCTCAGCCATCAGCACGTTTTTTTCGTCCATCAACTGAACCAGCTGCAAGCCAAACTCTTGAACTCTAGCTTGCAACTTTTTGCTCAGCTGCTGCTCGTGCGCAAGCTTTGCTTCGAGCTCCTTGGTTCTGCTTTCGTAACCCAACAGCTCGGCTTGGAGCTCACGCACTTTCAAATTTGACGCTTCTAGATTGGCTTGAAGGATCTTCTCCAGGCTACTGCTTTGAGAAATCTTATTCTTCATGGGGCATCCCTCATCGGGGCCCAGCCGCCCCTGTTTGAAGCACGTTGTCTGGGCAATGTTGTGGCTACTATTTTTGGTTCAAAGCATTTGTGATAAACACAAAATTCATGCCGAGGGATTAAACCCTAGCAGTAAAAACGAAACATGTTACTTACATTGCAACCTGAAGAACTGCTCAACTATGTTTTGGGCAGGCCACGCTTACGAAAAACACAGACGACACGAAGGCGGGACATGGCGGGAAACGGGCGGGACATGGCGGGACATGGGCGGGACATGGCGGGACATGGGCGGGACATGGGGGGACATGAAGCAAGAGTTCAAGAGTTTGGCTTGTAGCTGGTTCAGTTGATGGACGAAAAAAACGTGCTGATGGCTGAGAAGCATGCACGGATGATCGATGATTTGAATTTGATCTGTGGTGCCACAAATCAGCATGATGAGTGCTGATGAGACATTATTGGTGATGCAACCACCTTGCCGCGTAGTTTCTGCCACCGCCCAGAAGCCGTTGTGGAAGCACCGGTTTTTGGTTGGCTCAGGGAAGCTTTTCCAGCTATTGCATTTTTTTGTCAGGCAGGGTGCTACCGCGAAGGCTTCGCGATGCGCCCAGCCGAATGAGGGTGTGGCATATGTGTACAAAGCTAGAAAGGCATGGGGGTGCAGACTCACGGTAGTTTTGGTAGGCTTTCACGTGTTACCCAGGCTCTGAAGCCAAGCCAGCGAACCAAGCAGTGCAGCAAAAAAGACAGATCTCAGCATTTGCCCTTTCGTAGGCCGTAACAGACATCTTCGATCTTTTCGGCTTTTCTGACTATATTGACTATAAATCAAAATGACCACATGCGTATAGTAAGCTGTTTCGGCCGTGTGCCTGTTTCCAAACCATAAACCGTATTTTTTTGTAAAACATTTTTTTTAACATTGGCCGGAAGGCTTCAGAGGCAGGCAAAATATGTCAGCTGCAGTTCTTCAGTGAACGGTTCAAACCTAGTAAGACCTTTGCTGGTTCGTTTCAAAACGGTTTAAACCGTTTTGTTTGAAAACCCCCATTTGCAGCTGAGGTTAGCGCCCCCCGGTTGTAGATGAAAAACTTATACCTCCTGCGCTGTGCTTAAACACGGAAGAAGTTGGTAAGGTCTTTGATGAGGTGCTCACGTACATAATCTTCCAACGCAAAGATCTCCTTGAAGACTACGTCGCGTTGAGTTTCAAAGAAATGGAAGAAAGGAAAGACGAATTCCGCACTCCGTTCGTCGGGAAGCCTGTCCACTGTCCTGCGTTCCTGGACAACGAGGCAAAGCTTCCTCGCGTCCCAACAAGAGAAGAATACTTTGAATGGTTACGCGGGGATGGTCTGAAGTTTTACCAGAGGGCCAGAGACAATTGGATGGCAAGGAATGGATACGATAAGCGCTACAGTTCCTTGTTGCTGTGCGAGGACCTCGATCACAGCTATGAAGCCATCCGCGTCCAATCCTACATCTGGGACATCTATGTTTGGGCATATTCCACCATGAACATCAATGAGCACCTCTCTCCGCTCATTGCTGTGAACTCAGATGGATACCGTAAATTACCGCCCACCCAACATGATGGGCATCGGAAGATCATCAGTGCCAAGGTCCGTTCACTTCTTGCCAACGCACTTGGGATGAAGAAATTCAAGTATGTGGCTTATCGCAACATGCCCAGAGATCCAATGCGTGATGGCGTGTTTCTCATTTGCGTTGAAGGACTTCTCGAAGCACAAAAGAAGCGAGAGCGTCTTGATCCTGAAGTGCTCTACATAGGCATGCAGATGGGCACCAGCTTTGGACCAGGGTACTGGAAGCTCTACAAAGACAGGTTCGTTGATGTTGTCAATGGACAGCTCCGCAACAGACCCCATTGGAACAATGTGAAAGAATGGCTGGGGAGGGCCCGTACCTCTCTGTTCTGCATGGGGATCGGACAAATAACCGATCATCGCAGGCAAGGTACTCGACATACTTCAAACTTTGATCTCTATGCGATGGATGATTGAATCATTCCATATGGATCTCCCCTCATTTTCCAATTGCCTTTTTGGCACGCTATGGAAATGCAATGATGCTTTGGGTTCGCCTTGGCACCACTGAGAGGGATTGATGCGTGCGTTTCACAATGTTCGGTCTAGGTTCGCCCTGCCGATGAAGTCTCATAGCTTTCTGACTTGCTACCATTACGATGTTGGTGTGCAAAAGTGGAGCTCCTGTTTCTGATTCAACCACCTAGTTGCGTATTCGCTTGGGGGGTGTAAATCACTACACTTGCAACCCCACATTCTGGCCTTGCAACTCCAGTAGCTGAAGTGGTTTGGTGCAATGAGCTTAGGGTATTATACTTGCGTTGCCATTCATATCGACCAGCGCCACTGACTTCGCAGAGCTTTGAGACCGCAGAGTGAAAATCGTTGAAAAGCAAGCTTTGGGGTTTACTGGTGAACAAGTGTTTACACATTGGGCCAGTCACCCATTTACAGTTGCAGTGCATTCCAATTTTTCAGTCTTGGCCGTATCTTGCATGCACGTCTGTCGCTTGCTGTTTTTGAGTCGGAATTTGGTGTTAATCTTGTATTTTGTTGTCAACTTGACTTGCTTTTCAGTTGAATTAATGATTTGGAATCCGGCTACATGTGGGTTGGTGCATTAGAAAATGCTACACACGGAAATGTAGAATGCAATCTCACTGTAATGCCAAATCTGAACGTTTTAAACAAAACAAAATCCATACACACCATGATTGCCAATTTTTTGCTTGCGTTGCAGAATTGTGCTTGAGTTGTCTGAGGTGAGAACTGTACAAGCGGTGGATTGGGAGCTTCGGCAGGTGTCGCTGAGATATAGCCAGGATTGGACCATGCTGCGGGGCTCTTAAAGTTTGTAATTGCGAATTGCAGCCATGCTCAAGTTAATCCGCCAGGCAGATTCCCGTGGTTTTGCATTACTTTCATTTGCATGTCGCTCATGCCAGGTGCTGTGCCTACCTTGGCTTTGCTGTCTTTACACGTTGTGGGGGGCGAAAGAATTTGGCACAAGACAGTGCGCAAGTTTGCCGCCTTGCAAGGAGGTCTGAATGGGGACGTGCCTGGCATGGAGAGTTATTTAGCTGCCGACCAATACGCCACATATGTGCAGAATTTGGACCCTTCGGATGCAGCCGTGGTGCACTCCGTGTCAGCGCTTGAAAGGGATTGGTCTGGGCAAGTCGTCTTGTATCATGCCACCACTCCCTACATTTTTTTTGGCATGGGTGTTGCATGGTCTTCTGCATAAACGTCCTGTGTCATACGACCTGCGCCAAGCTACCTCTGGCACCAAGTATGCAATGGCGAATGTAACCTTTCGAGCCTTGAAGCCGTCTGCCCAGTTCTGCAGCACTCCGCTCTCCAGCTTTTAGCTTGACAATGAATTTGCAGCCGGGTTCAGCGAAGCCAACCTCAGTGCCAAGCACGTGGTGGACGTCGCAGACTTCCTCCAAGTGGCACAAGACCTCGGTGCCTTGTCTAACATGAGGTTTGACCACGTGGTGGGTGTGCGTGAGCGACTTCTCTCCACAAATTTGAACCTCTTTGGAAAATGCAAAGATGTGCCGGGAGAATGTAGTTGGGACATGCGCTTCACTTGGACCAATTAGGCGCCAAATTTTGGAGGCGCCAGCAACTTCTTGACGGACATCTTCGAGCTCATGGGCTCGGCCCCGGAAGTGCAAACGAAGGTTGAAGCCCAGTTGAACGTGGTCGGATGTGTGCTTGCATCCCAACAGGCTGTCAGGTCTATTTTGAATTGCTCACAGGTGTTGTCTGCCGCCCATGATCACTTCACCAGCTCATTGGCTGAGAGCATACAGTCGGTAGCCAGCAAGCCAAACGAAAACAAGTGCTTCAATCGTTGGTTGAGTTGGGATGATGCATCAGGAAACATACCTAGCAGTTGCTCCAGAGGTATGCTGCTGCAGATGCGCTTGGGCCCGAAAACAGTTGCGCGATGGGCATACCTTTCTGAGAAATTCGGATTGCCCGCAAGGGACCTGGGAGAGTTGGGCGACTTTGTCAAGGATTACATGCTAATCAAAAACACCCCAGCAGGAGACTCCAAACAGGCAAGGGTTTTTCTTTCACGCAGCTTTATGGAAGCAGATCCACCGCAGATTGCGATCCACCATCCCATGGTCTCCAATCCCAGCCTGATGGATGCGGTGAGTGCAATGGCCAACGAGATTGTTCAGCTGTTGAGCACAGGAAGTGGATGACTGTTCGAGCTGACGGTCGTGCTGCGTGGAGAAAAATTGCGACAGTTAAACGGAGCGTATTGGTGAGCGTGCTTGCGCTCGTAGGTGCAATGGCTGCTTTTGGCATGCTTAATCAGAGACCTTCTTGGCACTGGCCTGATTTGAGCTTAGTTTAGGAGAGTTCGGCTGGTCCGAAGGAACGATGGCTTGCTTTTCGAAAGCGGCTTTAAGCTTTTCCGATTTTGATTTGAGCTCAAGCTACTTGCGTCCTTGTAGCGAATTGCTATGCACACGACCCTTTGTGCGACACGGCCGCAAAATGTGTAATGCTTCTAAGATTTGTTGTCTTGATGCTTGGTTGTGGAGATGCGTTTCGCTGTTGTGGAGATGCTTGTCGCTGTTGTTATTGAAGATGTGTTGTATACCCTTGTTTTAGGAGGAGCGTTCTTCGTTAGCTAATTTTCCGGCTACTCCTAAACTCCAAGGCAGGGACGTGCCTCAAGGCCAGAACTTGACCGACCAACCTCGGCAGTGCCAGTCTCAGATTTTCCAGTTCAGGGTCTAGGGCTTAGGGATGTTTAGGGTTTGTTGCTTGGAGTTTGTAGGACCTTCACAATCCGGTTGCGCTGGGTCATGATCATTTCGGAGGAGCCAATTTCGCAATGTATTATTCCTGTTGACGCCACCGCCACTACTACTACTACTACTACTACTATTACTACTACTACTACTACTGCTGCTGCTGCTGCTGCTGCTAGTACTCAGTTTGAGAATGCGTGCTTCAGGTGGGCTTTTGCAGAAAATCACATTTTTTTGGTAGGAAGCCCCTATCGTCAGGACGACTGGGTACAATCCAAACTCTACACCCTAAGACCCTTCAACCTTATCCTGGAGGCATGCTGGCCTTCCTTCTGTCAAGCTTGCTATTGACAGCCAATGCAGACGGCAACAAAGTGACGGCAACGCGTACGCACAGCATGGTGCATGTGGCAACATAGTGGGATATGAAGGCTTCAGGGCAATTTGGGATCAGGGCCTATCAGATGAAGCGTCCTTTGGCACGCGCCTCCATAAGAAAGATACAGATGTCTGGAGGGCATTTGGGGATCCTGATGTTGACGCTCCTCTTTTTTTTTGTCGGCTCTTCCAAGCTAGCATGTTGTTACCAGAGTTACGCAAGTTTCACTATGATCTACAACTGGCCTCTGCAAGCTGTGTCCTTTGGCTAGTGGCAAGTTCTGGTGTTTTTGCATGGATCCTTGGATATGTGAACGTGTCCAGGCACTTCCCAAAAGCACAGTCTAGTCTTTGGTCGCTAGCTCATAAGAAGGCTTCCAAGAGCACCAGCAATGACAGACATACGAAAAACATGGAAAGCACTTATGACGTAAGACAAGAGAACAGGAGTTGTTTTTCGACGGTTCTTGAATGCAGGTCGCAGGTACTTTGCCTGCACTCTCTGAGAGGGTCATCTACCACCTTGGAGTTTTAATCCCTGCAAAATTGCTCAAAGAGATGGAACCGTACTGGCAATGTCACATGCTCCTTGCCTACTGGTTTCTGGAAGTTGTTTGGAGCCCCATGCTTGAGGTGCTTGCTGATGTTCACACTGATCATGCAGCCGATTCCATGCGCCTTCTGCAGGTGCTTTTGCGCACCACTGTTCAGGGCGGTCTGCATGCCCCAAAAATGTATCCTCCCCAAAGGGAAACTCGATGTCCTAGAACACCAGTTCATGAAGACGAAATAAATCTGAAGGGCTTGCTATGCATCATCCTTCGACATGGTGAGGATATATAGGACTTGGTTCAAGAACCTTGCATATTGTCCTACAAGAGATTTGAGAAGGGAAAGCTAACCAAATTGAATCCCGGTTCACGATATTCGCTGGCACTTTCAAAAGTTCAGGCATCAGAGTCCTTCCTTACATCTTTGTCGGTGCTGTGGCATTAAGTTTTGTGCCCATGAACAGGTTAACAGGCATTCAATCCGCTTCGTGTTGCGTGTTTCAGAGAAGTTCTGCGTTTGTTGCTGCCAGGAGCACGTGGTGTTGCAGGAGCATTTGGCAACACAGAAGACACGTGGAGGGTTGGCGAAGTCTCGTCTGCAATCTGGATCGGCTGCTTTGCTCCCAGAGGCACAAGAGTGTCAGCGTGCTTAGACAGTTGAGCTGATGGTCACCTAATGAACGAAAGGTCTCGCAACGTGTCAGGATGGTGACGTCGTTCCTACTTCAGGTTACATCGGGTATTTAGGACTTGAAAGTTCGGGGGAGGATTTGTAGACAGACGTCCATCGCAAACAACCCACACGTAGCGATTCATGCTTCTGTCCACTTTTATTCCGTCAGACTTTTGACCTGGAGGTGCTTGTGCAGAGGTCGGTTTGGTATCAGCGCATCTAGCTATCTCCAGAAGAAGTTGATATGCAAGGTAGTAATAGCAAGAGGAGTCAAAGGCAGAAGGACAACATTAAGTAGAAGTAAGGCCAGTCTACTCTGCCAGAAGCTACGTGACCAGAATCACAGAAAAACATGACGACGATTCTTGCTTTCTGCATGCATGTCTTCTGCACTTGAAGCTAAAGCCTTTCCGTTGCGGTGATTTGTTGGCAACATCTGCCAATATCCCCTGCAGTTTTGCAGGCATCAGTGCTCATCCAGAAAGAGGAGCAGGAACCGACAACAGTTGTCACCAACCAGCGCGGGACTTTGGACTTTGGTGGGCCCTTGTTAGGAATCCGTCTCACAAATGTTGATCTGCATGTGGCACTGTGGCACTTGCTCATGCTGGGTATAATGTGCGTTAGCCTCCAATTCGGTGCGAGGTCGTGGTTTTCCAGACTGGGCGATTCCTTCTGGAGCGTGATTGCTGGCCTGATCATGATACCCTTTTCACTGGCCGCTGGGTTTCCAGTGGCAAGCATCATGAGCTTGTTGAGCTTCATATGGCGCATGCTTGCACCTTAGGTACTGATGTGGATGAATGAGAGAAGAAATGCACAGCAGGACCCAGCTGTCTGCATCGCATGCAGTGGTCTTGAGTGGAATTTTCATCCCTTCCAGGTTGTGTAGGACCACAAACCACTTCATGCTCAGTTATCCGGAATCTGACTGAAGTAAACAAGTTATGGTTTTTGGGTTCCCATCTGTAAGTCGCGGGCCCCAATATCGACCACAATATACCAGAATCTTCATTATGGAGACCCCGAAAAAGAGACCCTTAATTCTTGGGACCCCACATTCTCCCATGTAGGGGGTCAGGCAGACCCGTTCGGCTCCTGACATCCCCAAACAGTGTCAGGCAAGCAGGAGGCCTGAGCCCTTAGCTGTAAACCCTTAACCGTGGATATGAAGATCGGCAAACATCTGAGCCCCTAAACTCGAAACCCGAAACCCTAAATCCTATCCATGCTGTGCTTCGACATCTTATGGGCAGCTTGAAGTTCATCCAAAGTCCTGTTTCCAAGTGAGCCAGTACTGACATAAAAGATTCAGTTCAGGGTTTAGGGTTTAGCGCTTAGGTAGTTTCCATTTTCTTTTCCAACACCGCTCTATAATCCCTGGTATACTGTAGTAGTTTCCGTTTATTTCCCATCGTTTTTCTATGATCTCCTCAAAATAATTGTAGTTTTCATTTTCTTTTCCTCCTTTGTCCCATATATACCCTGATATACCATAGTAGTTTCCACCTGCTTTCCCATTATCCCTTAACCCTAAACCCAATATAAGCCCATTATAATAGTTTCCACTTGCCTATTAAAAACCAATATTCTATAGTAGTTTCCATTTTCTGTTCCATCATCCCAATATAACCCCAATATGACCCCATTATACTGCAGTAGTTTCCATTTCCTTTGTCATTCCTAAACCCTTAACCCTAAGCCCTAAACCCTAAGCCCTAAACCCTAAACCTTAGTAGTTTCCATTTGCTTTCTCATTCTGTAGAAGTCCCCTATATAATCACTTAAATAACCCCTATAAAACCCTATATAACCTTTTTGTTTTCCTATAAACCCCGTTTCCCAATTCAGCATAAAGGAGAGCATCCTGCAGCTTGGGGTGACCGAGGTGCACGAGTTTAGACAATGGCTCACGTGTGGGTCAGGGTTCCAAGGAACACCCTGGCGCATTCAGGGTTTAGGAACATAAGGGTGCCTAATTGGCTTGCTTCCTGTTCTGCGGCGCCTTTGTTTTCTTTTTCTACGTAGAATGCTTCAGCTTTGAGGGTTGCATAGGAGTGTTGTGGACTGTATTCTGTTTGTGTGCTCAGCTTGCAAAGCTGAGGCTTTTGTGGCATTCCATGTGGTTGCTGAACTCGCAGCAGCTCACTGTTTAGCAACCTACTAAAGTTGTAAGATTTTGCCATGGCTGAGGCCTTGGATGTACAAGGCGAGCCTGGTATCATCAGTACAGTTATCATCATCTTCATGCGCATTTCTACTGTTATTTTTATGTTTCATTATTTTGCTTAGTTTGAAACGATTCCTCCAAACCACCTCTCAAGTTCCTGCCTCCTTGGCCGCACTAGCCGGATGGCCAGCAAGCTCTCCAGTTGTTTCCGAGGGTGGCTTCAGGCATTGACGTGGTTTTGTCTGAATGCTCGCCAGGTCTCCGTTACAAGTCATATGCTGCGGAAACAAGCTGCGATGGTTTCAACATGCCAGAGAGACATGCGCAATCATACATGCAGGAGCAAACATGATTGGTAGTTCAATTATGTGGAAAACAATTGGCTGTGCTGGTTTTCAAAACAAGGCTTCCAGTTTGAACTCCCCGAGATAGCCTCACCATCCCTGTAAAGTCTATGTTGATAGGAGCTGCCTGTCAACCATATATATATATATATATGTCCGTATATATGTGTATATATATATATATCTCTCTCTCTCTCTCTCTCTCTCTCTTTTTGATCCAAACTTTCGCTACCGATATGGTGCCATGAAGCCATATCAGAGACTTATCAAGCGGAGAGCGCCAATATCCTCAGCATTAAGAATCAATGCAGCATCCAGACAAAACCTACTTAGTATAACCTCTCATAAAACTTGAAACCTGACAAGACCCTTTCTGAATTTCCAAATTCAACGACTCCTCCAGCCCCATTGCCCTAAAGCTAGAACAAAAAGCAAACGCCAAATCCCAAACCTTCATCTTTCTTGGAAGGTGCAGACCATTGCCTCGAAGCTTCTCGACTCTTTTTGAAGGTTACCCCTGAATAGCAAGCCCTCGGGGTAAACGACCAGAATTTCAGCACATACTAGCTTGCAGATGCGTCGGCACTTTCACGAACTAACTCATGCCGGTGCTGCATGCAAATGCTACCTATTACTATTAGGATTACTATTACTATTACTATTGTTATTACTATTACTAGTGTTATTACTATTATTATTATTACTATTACTATTACTATTACTATTGAATCTTGGGCTGTCAGAACCAAGGCTGGCCGATGAGAAGTTGCATGGGACGTCGCTCGGCCTGTTTGAAAACAGGTTTGTTGTTGGCCTACTATATGGGGGTTTCCCAAATTTAGGGGTACCTATTTGGGGTCCCTATAATAAGGATTATAATATATTGGGGTCTATATTGGGGTCCCCTTGTTTTGGGAAACTTCTATACGTATAGACATAGAGGTTAGTTGCATTCATGCAGCAGCGTTTGAGGATTTGTCGATTTCTACCATACTCCAGCACCAACCAGAGTAGCTATTGTAATCGGATAAAGTCTTTTTTGGGTGGGGTATTTTTAGATTCCTACCTTCTCAGAGCTAGTGCTTTATCTTGATTTCTGTCGCCCTCCAGAGCACACAAAGTATGTGTTCTCAAACCCTTTGTGGGATTATCGGGCTCTTCAGCTTACAGCCAGTGTCCCATATCCCTAGTTCCCCAAGTGTAATTCCCAAACCCCAATCAGAAATCAACTAAACCAGATGCCAATCTGGAAAGTGGCCCTGACCAATCCTGGAGGCCTTTAGCGCTGGAGGAATAGAAGAGGAGATTCCAGGGCTCTTTATCTTGGGGTTATATTGGGATAATAGAAAAATGGAAACTACTATTTAGGTTGTAGGCGTGTGAAGGGTGTGTCCTAGGCGTGAAATAAAAGGACCCCAGGGGTACAGGTCCCCACTAATGGGCCTTCTCACATTATTTTAGGAAACCCTTAACCCTATCTATCCCTAGACAACCATATATTTATCCTAATATCCCTTAGAGGTACCCGCAAGAGACTCAGCATCAAGTCCTTTAATCTGGTACGTCCCAAGCCGTGCGTGTTCATTAATTCGTTATGTTTCAAACAAGCCTCGTGATTGTAGGGCACCTTATTTTTGAGGGATACTATAGGATTATCTATGATATATATAGGGTTTAGGGTTTCCTCCCCAACAAATCCTGGTAGCCAAGGTTGGTCCATCTGAATGATGCGGACGCGAAGGGCTTGGATGAGGTGAAGGAGATCCGGTAGGCATCATTCTTATCATGAGTTCATGAATTCATGTATTTATATTATTGGCTCAGAAACGTAGAAAATGTGGACACAAGTGTTCATGAAGTTCCAATTTTTGTTTGAGTTGGGACGAGAACAGGGTGCCCCATTATGCCAGCGATTTCTCAAGCGAAGGTAATCTTATGGATCTCATGTTGCTTCTAAACTTCAGCAGATGCCCTAGGCCAAGGGCCCCCCCTTCCAAAGAGGGCTGCGCAACTTGCAGAAGCCCTGACATAAGTGGAGGCTTGCCACGGCTTTAGGCTCCAAGTGGTTAAACGGACAGTTACAGCCAGAAATTATCTTTCTGAAGCCCTAAACCCTTTCCATTTTATTATCCATTGTCCCAGTATTATCCCAATAAAATCCCAAGAACTTGGCCCTCAGCCCTAAACCCTCTAAAGAAACTGGCATGAATTCTGTGACCTGCAGGGTGCAAGATCCCAAAGCAGGGAATTGCTATGCCTCAGAATCCCTGCAAACCCAAGGCCAAGCCAAGCTCCAAGCTAGGAGATTGGTGTTTTATTGGGATAATGGAAAACAAGATGGACACTATGGGGATTAATAGGGGTTATAGGGTAAACATTGGGGTTATACTGGGTTTAAATTGACTGGAAAAGCAGGATCGACGATTCCCAGCAATATGCTTTGAGACGGGGTGCCTGAGGCGCCAGCCTTTTTGTGCAGGGGGAGGGGGGGTTGGGGAGGGGTGGGAGGCTAGCCGAGGGCTCAGGGTTCAGGGTTTGGGGGTTTGGGGTTTGTTGACAGGTCTGCATCATTCATGGTTTGTCATCTACAAGGTTCATTCTTCCAGGCTTCGATTTGTCGTTGAAGCATCTCAGTCAGCTTGCACACTTTCCTACCAAAACCCAACAAAGGATCACCACAATAAGGATCACATGCGGCCTTTTGACGAAGATCGAATTTCTTGAGGGTTGTTTTTCAGTTTGTTAAGGATAAGGCCATTTGAGGTTTTCAGACTTCCAGTGGCCAGGCTGAAAACTCAAGTTCAAGTTTACCAGTGGAAAGAGACGAAGAAAGAGGAGAAGAAGAAGGACAATCTGGGCGGCGGTGAGACCACGATCACGAAATTTGAGTACAACAAAGTGTGGTCTGATACTCAGATCAATTCCGCATCCTTCAACCAGCCCGGCCATAGCAACACCATCTCCGTTTCTGGCTTGCAATGCGGCACGGAAGAGTTGACCAACACCACCGTGAAGTATGGCGAGACTGGGCTAAAGAATGGCTTCTTTATCGTATCGTTCCATGCTCACATACCATGTGGCGACAACCACAACTACTTGCTCCACCACCACCGCAACGAGTCTTGCGGCTACTAACACCATCCCCTGCTTCCTACTACTACTACCGCAGATGCTATTAGAAATACTGCTGCCACCAGACTAACCAAGTTAAGCCTTAAGTGTTTTCTTTTTGTTCCTTCTGCTGATCCTGCTGCGACTACTCCCACATCTACGGCTGCTGTTGCTACTATTGTTACAATGCCACAACCGCAGTGCAGACTGAGTATTATTGTTGCTATTGATAGTATTATTCTTGTTTTGATCCTTCATTGCCACTATTGTTGTTACTTTTATTCCTAGAACCCTACCACTACCACTAAATAACGACACGTCAATGGTTGCTTTTGTAGTTGCACCTCTTCCTATTCTCCCCGACGATGTTTCAATGGAGTCTTTCGCCGGGAGCAAGTTTCGCTTCTACGCTGGGAGCACCTTTGAGGTTGCTTCCGGTGTAGACGCCCTGTTGCTTTGTGAGAGAAAATGATCTGGGTTGGTGTCATTATTGTTTGTATTGGTGCTCGTGTGAAGCGTTTCTTGTTGGGGCCCAGAGGCCAAAACCCGCGGTTTGAATAAATTTCTACCCTAAACCCTAAACCCCGAACCCTCTACCTACGAGGGTCGTAGAGACCACTTAGGGTTTGTTGAAACCCTGCAAACAGAGAGTTTCCGCTGCTGCCTGCAAGCTGCGCCCACCCACAACGCTGGTATTTCCACGTACTTTCGAAAGAGTATAGGTAGCGCATGGCAGACGTAAAATACCCTGAACCCAAAACCCAAAACCCTAAACTCTGAACCCTAAACCCTGTGGAGGGGCTATGAGACTTGCCCAGGAGAGCTACTACCTGCCCAAGGAGCTACTGAGTTGCTGTTAAGGAACTTAAATTAAGCTACCATAATGGGTATATATATAGTAAATAATAGGGTTTCCCCAATATAGTAACCCTAAACCCTAAACCCCATTATTGGTTTCCCCCAATATAGTAACTTAATTTAAGTTCCTTAACAGCAACCCAGGTTAGTGCAACAACTTGGAGGCCCAATGAAGTGGCAGGACGCCAACCGTCTGGTGCCTTGCTGGTTCTTAGTCGGGACTTTATAGGGAATATGTATAGGGACTATACAGGGATGATATAGGGATTGTATTGGGATTATATAACCCTAAACCCTAAACCCTAAACCTTGATCATAGGGAATATATTATAGAGGCATTATATAGCGATGATCCCCCGTATTCCCTACTAAGAACCAATAAGGTGAAGGTTCTGGAGTTCAATGGCTCCAGGTTTGAGCGCTCTGAAGACTGGCACCTCGACAGATGAGCTATACGTAGTCTAAACTCCTTAAGGTGCCGACAGATGAGCTATACGTAGTCTAAACTCCTTAAGGTGCTTATATAGGGGATTTTATAGGGGAGTATTATAGGGGTTACTACAGGGGGTATTAGAAGTTTAGACTATGGCTCAGATGGGGGTGTTCAAGTTGTAGATGTTCAAGTTGTAGATGTGAAGCTGACGCTGGTTTCATTTTTGGGATGGGCGGACAGGGCAAGTAATGTGAGATAGGCAACATGATGCCCTACAGTCCCACTTTCCAGTTGATTCTCCATGCGATTCCCCGTTGCTTGTTCGCGAAGAGTCAGCGACTCCCGAGGTTCTACTATCCGCCAGCTGCAGCCCAAGCCCCGACTGTGGGCAGTGTGCCCTGGAAGCAGAGCTCCAAATACACTGTTGTTACCATTTTTATTCTTACTGTTGTCTTTATGTACTATTATTGCTGGTGATTCTGTTGCTATCTGGGTTCACGACTTTGGTACACTTGGAGATCCACGAAATATTCGGGGACCATGATAAGGAGACTAGAGTGACCAGAGGTTCTTTCGGACTACACAGGGAAGTTTTGGAGAAACTCTCGGGATACCGAAGTGTCCTGCGAAGGTCGTGCTAGCAAGTGGTAGAGCGAGCAACAAGACGGGTGCCTCTCCTATCAACAGAAGGAGAACTGATGTGCATACTATCTTATGTACAAAATTACTGTGCATGTACGTGCGCACGCATGTGTAAATTACAGAACATGTTTTGTATGCTTCAGGATTTGGGCAGATGTCCTGCTTAAGGTGCGCGTCTCCTCCCGGTACCTGCCAGATGGACCTGCATCAGTGGTGGCGCTGCAAATGGAAGACAAGCAGCACCCCAACGCCGAAGCTTGGCCAAGATCTTGTGGGAATAGGGGGTTCGAGGTGCGCCTCTCTCTAATCCAAACGGATCATCAAGGGCTTCTGCAAGTCGTGTTGTTGCTCATGTTCCGCTCCGGGCTAGAGATGATGTCAGACTACCAACATGGGGCTTGGAAGCCTCCCACGGAAAGGAGAACATGACCATGTTGCTGGCTGAAGCACGGTGACTGTTGAGAAGTCGAGGGGATTCCTTCGTGCAACGTGGTTCTGGCTGCTGCAGTTTTCGGGATGGCTCTTCTCATCCGTTTTTCAGTCTTATGACTAGTTCAAGGTTCTTAACAGTCTTGATCCTGCTGACCTGACCTTTTTCCAGCACGAGTAGTACTTTAGCAGAGGGTAGTGAGATTCCTGATGGGAGAGAAGGCTCTCCTTTCTTCCTGGACGTCCATGCGTAACAAGGGCAGATAAAACGCGAAACCAAGGACCCCGAAATCCTTAAAGCTCAACTGCTGACAGAAGGCACAAGATCCCATACAAAGCAATTCAAGCCACAAACCGCGTGGCTTATCATGAGGCAACATTCCTTCCTTACCGATTGGTCTACCGAGGCCCGGGCATGTTTTGTGGCAAACTACTATGGTATATTCGGGTAATATGGGGATAACGGAAAATAAAATGGAAACTACGATAGTATATTGGGGTAATATAAGGATAATGGAAAAGAAAATGGAAACTACTATAGTATATTGGTGTAATATGGGAATAATGGAAAAGAAAATGGAAACTGCTTTAGCATATTGGGGTAATATGAGGCTGACGGAGCTTCAACAATTCTTGCTACAGCTTTGACGGGGTTCGCAGAGCTGATAGGGTTTACTTGGAGAAGGTTATGCACCCCGAGATGGTGGGATGCGTTGCGGGATGCTTGTGAAGTGATCAGCGGCTCATCATACTCCGAAACGCACCAGAATTCAGCTTGCATTGGCCTACCAAAATATGACTCCTGTTAGAGCCTCTGTGCCATGGAGAATGCCTTAGGGGTTTAGGGTTTAGGGGTTTCCATTTTCTTTTCCACCATCCTTATATTACCCCAATATACTAAGTAGTTTCCATTTGACTTTCCATTCTCCCCATATTACACCAATCTACTAAAGTAGTTTCCATTTTATTTTCCATTATTCCCATATTAACCCAATATACTATAGTAGTTTTCCAATCCACAAGTTGTATCGCAGCAGATCTTGGGCTTCCCAATCTTTCTAGCGGCATCCAGACGTCCGATAAACTGGTCTCCCCAAGCCACAACAAACTCAGCATGGGAGCAACATCCAGTCTGTATAAACTTCACAACCTTGAGCCAAGGGCCATGAGTGTCAGTGAGTGTCAGAAATATTGTTTCTGGTTTGCCACGGTTGAAGGTACTTTTGGAGTTCAGGGTTTGAAGGTTCATGTGTGTGTGTGTGTGTGCGGTTTGCCTCTGGGCTTTCTGCAGGCTTCCCTGAAAGTTCCGATTGTATGTAAAAGCTGTGTGCATGCACAACGTCTGAAAATCTTTGAGGCCTCAAATTCCTGAAGTTAAGCGGATCGTAAATTCCTAGTCCTAAACCCTAAACCCTACACCGCATGGTCCAATGTAGTACACGTTTGTCCTATCCCTGCCTCCATGTCTTTCTTGTGTTTTGTACAATTTCTACTGCTCTTCTTCTTTCCTCGCCACGATCTAGCTGGTAAATGTGAACCTGAATTAATAGCACGGAAGCCGAATCCCTGGCCCGTAAAGGTTTGCTGCAAAGACGGCTTAACTGGAAACCTTAGACTCCAAGCCTCAGAAGCTCTAAGCCCGACGCTGTGAACCCTAGTATGTTACTATTATACTTCTACAACATTTCTTTCATATTTCTACTACAGCACTACTGTGTTTCTATTATATTTCTACTGTATGACTGCTCTAATGTTACAGCTATATATTACTGCTCTGTTACTCTCATATTATTTCTATACTACTAAACCCGCCAAGCGAGCAGGCCTCTGTGGTGGCCTTACTGAGGATGCCCTGCGAGAAGCGCTTCTCGCCCAGGGGCAGAAGGGCAGCGATGAGCTGTACGAAGAGGACGTTTAGGGTTTAGGGTTTAGGGTTTGGGGTTTAAGGGTTTTAGGGTTTTAGGGTTTTAGGGTTTTAGGGTTTAGGGTGCGAGGTGATTCTCGAGGTCCGTATGAGGGATTGTGCGCGGGATGTGTTGAGAAAAGATCTGCTGCGCCCGGCAGTGATGCAAGGTTTCCTAGCGGAGTTGTGTAAGGATTCAATTCGGGTCCTGCTCGAGGTTATTATATCAATCATTTTCAGGTGTTTTGTTTTAGACTAGTGTGTTGAGTTGTTGGTCTGCAGACTTTGAGCTCAGAGATTGCCTTCCAGGGTCCTCCTGCAAAGGAACCATAGAATGCTTGTTGAGGCTTTGTTTGGATAACATGAGAAGTACAACAGGATGCTGCAGTCATGTTTCCCGGATCCAGTAGGCATTGTAATGTCTTCTGGAGCCAGTCTTTGACAGTTTCTTTGTTTATGCCGGCAAAGTCACCATCTAAACTTGACTTGCAGTTGCTCAAGCGCGGTCGCAACAAGGTCGGCAGACCGTTTGTTTTCCAGTTCACCTTGTCCAATGTCTGCCATTTTGACTTGATCATTTGCTTTGTACCTGATCTTACTTGTTACACTCTTTGTCAAGGTTGCTGCCTGTCGCATGCTTGCCTGAAGCACTAAAGCCCAAACCCTGAACCAGCGAAAGGAAGCCTGGACGAGTGGCCCTTTTGCATGTCTCTGTTGCTGCCGCAAGCTTAGATTCTGGTGTCTCATTGACATTTTTTCATGTGTTTTATAGGTGCAAGAACCAGGGCTCCCCAAACGGCTTTTAGAGCTCATTTGAGCTAGAGTCTAAACTCCTTGTATCCCCCTTACCCCTATAATGCTGCCCCGTATAATCCCACTTCGAGGAGTTTAGGCTATAGCACCTATAGTAGTTGTACTTGTAGCAGGGTCCGTAGAACAGCAACACATCACATTTACAGGGCGGGCATCTTGGTAGCTGACCCCTTCTCCCACCTAGACTCAACTCCCAAACATGACATGTTAGTGACACTAAACTAAAAGTTGGCCTAGATTCCGAATTGCAAGTGGAGGCCAAGACCTCAGCAAGGCTTGCACTGATCTTCTGACATCTGGATTGGGGGCCTTTGGGGTTTCGGGATGTATGGGGACTACGTTTGAGCGACAGCCCGCAAACGTAGCGTTCCCGTGGACCATTGATAGTTCTGGTCGCTTCTCCTTACATGAGTGGGATGGACGCCATGCCACAATCTCATGTGCGATATTCAGCATGTTCAACCTGCCATGTCAAACCAGACAAAAACCCTGAAACTTAAATCCCCCTTCCCTCACCACGCATGCAGTCCATTCGTTTTCGAGGCTGCAACATGGTTGCGATGTGCTTCGCCAAGTTGGCGCCCCCGCAGATCTTTGCCACCTGGCAGATCTTATGCTCCAATGATCCGGGGTTTCGGGGTTTAGGAAGTCAGAGCCTCAAAGCAAGCCCCTGCCCCCAAGGAAGCCCCAGGCTACGTCAAGGGACTGTTTCGTGTTGTTTGGCTTCAGTAGGAGCGTAGGATGTCCTTGGAGTGGGAGAGTTTAGGAAGCCACCCGCCTTGCTGTAGTTGTACTGTTGTACCGAAAACTTGCTCAGCAGATTCAAGCAAACCAGGCCCATTTCCATGCTTGGGTTGCACCTGGCAAAAAATCATGCAGTTGAAGTTGAGTCTGCATGTAACCCTGTAGGAAGCGAGGATGATTACCAAATCAGTGTCCATTTGATTTGCCATGTCATTCTCCATTGTTCTGCTTGCTGTTACCTTGGCTGTTATCCTGACTAAGTTAAGCACTTGGAATGCGCCCTGAGAGCATCTGGCTTCGCGGATGATACACTTTGATTTCCGCTCTCATGAGCTCTGTGATTTAGTTCGTTGCTGCTGTGACATGTTGTTTTTTTGATGTTCCTCTTTCGATCCTACCTGACCTTATTCAGATAGTCCAATCCCTGGGTGCAGGGTACTTCGGATCGCACACGACGCAAGATCGATAGAACAGTTTCTTATCATCACTGCACTTGTCAGTACTTTTATATTACTACATTTCACTGTTACTAGTACTTTTCACTGTTAATGTTCCTATTGCTATACCTATGGTCCTATGGTCGTTCCTGAAGTATGCCGGCACTACCTTGGAAAACGCTTCTCCCAGAGAGCTGGGTCTGATGATCATGGCATGGCCTGCTCGAATACAATCGTTCTTTTCCACTATGGGTATAAAGAAATGACACTAGCGATAAAAATTGTCAATAGTTGATTTATAGTGGGACAAGATTGCGTTTTCGTTGGTTCGTGTTTTCAGAAATAGCGATGGTCCGCAATGGTGGTAAGCAGGCGAGTAAGTTAAGTTTTTGAGAATCCCAGAAGGACGTTGATGTGAGCGCTGGTATGAAGGTCGACGTGACTTCAGGTCACAACCGCGAAGAAGTCATGATGCAAGTGTATAGGCTTGGTGTTCGGCCAGAACATGACCACGCAAAGCACGGTGATGTCAGACCTGGCCAAGCATCACCAATTTGGACCCTACCGCCCACGTCCTTGATCTCAAGTCCTGAGCCATGAAACCCTCTACCCTGAAGACTCAAACTCCCAAATGCGGGAAATTATGGCCCCAGCATGACACTATGAAACGTTACACAGCCTTCCTGACTCTTCATTCACAGACCCATGAAAGAAAAGGTTTCACAAATGCTTCACATCCTACACCCCAAGCTGCAACCCTTGAGCCCTAGGCCCTGAAACCCCAAAAATTTTGAGCCGCGAAGCCACGAAGGCGGCTTTCAACGGGCATAGCAGCTCTGAGGAGTGCTTCGAGAAGCTGGAAATGATGCCAGATTTCACACAAGCCATAATGTAACCTCCAGGGCTTAGGGTTTAGGGGTTTGGGGATATTATCCCCCTATTTTAATAAATGGAAACTGCTGTATATATGGTTATATCAGGATTGTATGAGCTATAGTCGAAACTCCTTAAAGGGATATAGGGGAGTATTATAGGGGCTATTAAGGGGGATGCTAGGAGTTTAGACTATGGCTCACTTGGGTTGTTATCTCGACGAAATGTAATGTAGCCTTTTTTGTAAGTTATGGGAATAATGTAGGTAAGCTGTGGAGCTTGCACTTGTCACGGAGGCTTTGAGAGCGGAGCTTACAAGATTTTTTCCGATTCAATGCGAACATGTTGTTTCAGACCATGAGACAAGGCTTGCTTGTCTGCGTGTAGCTAGATGTATGTGTGGCAATTGACAGCTAGGGTATCTCCAATTCTTGCTTCCGTGATCGTGAAGATGAAGTACCGGTTTCATGGTTTAGGGCTCACTATTGAGTGTTCAACAGGAGTATCCTGGAAGGGCCCTAGGGGTATCAGACATCATTTTGCAATTTGTTCTTGGTGTGGTGACAGACCGCAGAGCTGACAAGTTGCCGCGAAACTCCTTGCAAGTGTTGCAACGGCAGGGAATGTCGATAATTGGTTCCAATGTTCTGATGCCCAAAACACTTGTGCAGTTGCCACTGAAAAGTGCCACATCGTGTTTACGATTCTAGGTAGATGGGGACAAATGCTAATCTGCTCAGGCATGACAAGCATAGCCTATTTTCGAAGCCTTAGGCCTGGATCCCTGCAGAATCCCAGAACATACAGAACATCTTCTAAACCTCCGTTCAGGGAACAAAGTCCTGAGGATTGGAAGGCTGCAGAAGTGGGGGCTGCGGCTTCTTTCCTGGGTGCTGCTCTATGCGGCCACCTACGCACTCTTTCAGCCCTTGCTGGTTTCCTACCCGCACATCAGGACCATCGATATTAAATTAGGCAGAGGTTTTCAGGTCGTCAGTATCATCCTACAGTGTCCTAAGCCAAAAACTGTAAACCCTCAATCCTATAGTAGTTTCCGTTTGGTTTTCCATTCCCCCTATTTATCCCTAGAAAACCGCTTTTGCAAGAATGGTTGGAAACTTGGTGCATTCCCGTGCTTCTTTTTCGCACCGAGGTGGTTCTGGACATCTTCCCATTCCTTGGCCCGCACCTTCGCTTGGTAAAGCCAGAATCATGGGATCAAATTACAGTAGAACTCACAGTAGATTATATGAGCTGTTTTAACCAAGAAGAGGAACTAGGGGCTTTTGGAGAATCTACTGTAAACTTTACTGTAAACAATTTTGTTGATATAAGCCGGAGAACTTTCACTTGTTGGTTGTTAGCAGGAAATGAAGGAATGCATAGGAGCATGGTAACTATTGTTTTGTTAGACTTGATACAGGTTCCACTATAGGATCCCAACCTCCATTCCCTACCGGCAGAACTTTATTGGGATAATGGAAAAGAAAATGGAAACGACTATAATGGGTTATATAGGGGTTATATAGGGTTTATATTGGGGTTATATTGGGATAATGGAAAAGAAAATGGAAACCCCAATCTCTAAATCCTACACTTGCGGAACAAGGTACCTCAGCACTGGCGCAGGCTGGGTTGTTGGGATCGTAGTGTTCGTGGTCACGGCCCTCCTTGCCACCACCATCATCTCCTTAGCTTTCCTCATTTACCACCCGCTGGTCGGCTTGGCATACCTGGTGGGCCTGGGCCCCAATGCTTTCACTGTTGCTTTCTGGGGCACGGGCACGGCTTGTAAGTGCAAGTCTGCCTAACGCTAAGTTTCCTGAAGAGTATAATGCTGAAAGCGAGGAGTTTGCTGACACGCAGCATGCCTGCCGTGCGATGCCGAGGTGTGGGTCTTGCCGTCGGTGCTGTGATCGGCATCTCACATGCTCTGTCTTCATAGGGAACTGGTCCCACTCCATAACGGCGTTTGACAACGTCTTGAAGGCTCAATCAGCCTTTGCGCCAGCACGCAGGGGAAAAGCTAGTGTACTGATCATTCGTGCGGGATGACAGTGCCAGTAAAGCTCCGAGCATCCATCTGCGAGTAGCAATGTACGGACCTTTTTTCTGATACTGTTATCTGTTGCACTAGAAGCTTCCATTTTCTTTTCCATTATCCTTATTATATAGCCCCTATATAACCCCTACAATGGTACCTCTATATAACCCCTATGATGGTACTCCTAATTGAGAATTGATATCTCTTGATGACGGCAAGATGTAGCCTTCTGCAATCGCGGCTTAACATCTTTCGACAGACTATTCTAGGCTTGCTTCGCATTCTTGACCACCTTTGATTATAGGGAGTATATAGGGGTTATATAGGGACAATGGAAAACAAAATGGAAACTACAGGGAGTATCGGGGTTATATATTTCGCCGGGTTTTCCTGGGGTTTTGTCGTGCATTGCCTGAGCAAGCAGCTGGTTCCGGTTCGCGCGTCTTGTCGTTTCAGTAAGAATGCTGGCTGCCCTGGATCCCTGCGGATTGCCCACAGCCTTTACTCATACCTGTGCTTCATGCTCTCCACTGCTCAGAGCTTTCAGTAGATATGAATCTCATGGGTCAGCAACAAGCACGAGACAAACTGCAAGTCAGACAGACTTCAGCAGCAATGGTCCTTGCAGCCTTGCAGCAGCCATCAGTGTGAATATCAACTGACAAGTGGCGAGGACTAGCAGGAGGGTTCTGATCGCACCAAATATTGTTTGCATGTTGTGACTTGCCTGCTTGTTAATGTTCGTGCTGTGAAGCACGGCCAGACTTAGTGATGATGCTATTTCCGCAACTTCTGTTGCTGCTGCTCAGCGTGCTGCCTCCCGCTCGCTCTGATGAACTGAAGCCGCTGGCACCAGTTCGACGCTGCTATGTGCCGCCTGTTCGAGAAGGTGATGGCTGCGTGCGGATGCAGATACTACAAGGAGCAATGTACGGACTCAACCAGTACGGGCAGGAGACCAGCGCCCAGCGGCTCTGTTTAAAGAAGCTGCGGGAGGCCGTCAGAAAAGGGATATGTTCCCCTGCAACCTGCCTGATTTCTTGCTGCTAAGAACTTCCCTGTGACAGGTTGGGGCGAACACCTTCCAATTTGCTCCTGGCACCTGTGATCTCTGGAATTGCAGCTCCGCAGAGGCACTGAAAAGTGGAGAGTGGAGTTCCGGGCTGTCGTCTCCTGCAGTCTTCAGTGAGCTTTGCGACTACCAGGACCCCAACCCCAGTGCAGGGAGGCGCCACAGCCCGGTGTTTGTAAAGCTTTGGGAGTGGAACTATGCAGACATCAGCAAAGAGTGCCAAGACTTTCTCGGGCCGAATGGCTTTGATGCCGTCCAGGTGTCCCCAGTCACTGAGCACAAACTTGGTCCCCAGTGGTGGACGAAGTATCAGCCTGTGTCCTTCTCCCTGAGCTCACGCTCCGGCTCCACAGAAGACTTCGCGGCCATGGTTGCCACGTGCCGTGCAAGCGGTGTGGAGGTGATAGTGGATTTAATCATTAATCACATTGCGACCCCATGCAAGGAGGGGCGTGGGACGACTGAAGGGATGCCGTGTGTTGGCTGGAACGGAAGCCTCTACGGCAACAGGCGCTTGGCCGGGGCCAGGGGTTGGGATTCTGCCAGCCCTGAGCTCTTCAATCATTTGGAAGACTCTCTGATGGAGAACTGCGTTGTGGGTCCTCCAAGCTGGACTTGCAAGGCTGGCAGCATCGATGTCACTGACTGCAGCTGCTGCAGTTGTGATTTCCTGAAGCTTCCAGATTGGAATACGGCCCTGCCTGCAGTGCACGACATGCACATGAGACATGTGCAAGAGCTGCATGACATTGGTGTAACCATGTTGAGGGTCGACCTCTCACTGTTTGAGTCCATTGCGGAGCTGAGCAACGTGCTCAACACTGTCCCGTGGCACTTTGTTTACCAAGAGTGGTGGTGGGAAGCCCCGGACCCAATGCGCCACCGTTACATCGGACATTTTCGAGACATTACTTACAGATATCTCATCACACACTACTTGGGCAACTCGACGCTGGCCAAGCTGCCAGAGGCCTTGACGTTGTCGCGAGGGCATGACGAGATCCGTCCTGAGACGAGCATTTATCCGATAGCTTTTCATGACGGCCGAACTTGGAAAGCAAACCCCGCCAATGCCACCTACAAGCACCTTGGCTTGAACAGTTGAGACTTCAAGTCTGGGAGCTCTAACTGTGAAAAGTTTGCATGTTTGGCTGGCAATAGCTGGCATTTTCTGGCATGAGTGCTTTCAAAAGAGCTTTGCACCAGGAACGGCCTGGAGTTTCATCAGCAGCAGAAGTTTATGCTGGCCTGGCCAATGGGGGCGTCTGTGCTGCACCTCGTCTCGTGCCATGGAGGGTTTAAAACTTAGCAAATGTCACCTTGTGAAAAAAGACATGGAAGGATAGACTTGCATGAAACAGTTTGGGGTATGCCGCAAGTTTGAAGCCTTCAAGGGCCCATTTAGGTTCCAGCATGGGAAGCAGGGATGGTCTCTTTCTTTTGTAGTTAGCTGTATGCTTCCCTCAGGGCTGAAAACCTCCCGGCCCTGGGATGTTACAGGTGGTTAAAGTGTGAGCTTTGCCTTTTCTAAAGCCCCCTGCCAAAGCACATAGATTCCCAAAGTATGATGAAGGCGGGTCCTTCGCATAGGTGTTCTCAAGGCCGTGTTCTCTAGCAGCAGAGTTTTCAAAACCTTCGGAGGATGAGTTGAGCCTGCAGCTCCGTGGGGGCTCTGAAGCACTGTCCGGGTTTCCAACAACTGGGCCCCTCTTTTCGAGTACCTGTTCAGGATTGAGGTAGGGCCCCCTTTGCTTATGGAAAGCCCCATCACATCCCAACAAAACCCTACCCCTAAACCCTAAACCCTAAACCCTAAACTGTGTAATCTTCCTAAAGTGGCGTGCTTAGGCTTTGGGGCGGTTTCGGATGGGCGTCTATGAGTGATGGGCCGCCAGGTTGCGATGCTGCCTGTCTTGAACTCAAGAGTTTCTTATGGTCATCTTGGGGTTATGTTGGGGTTATAGTGGGATAATGGAAAGGAGCATGGAAACTACAGGGATTATAGGGATTATGTAGGGGCTACAAGGGATTGGAGGGGATATTTTGGGGATATATAGGGATAATGGAAAAGAAAATGGAAACGTCTATTAAGGGTTTAAGGTCTAAGATTCTCTTATTTGGATTGAGCAGGAATGGATCCCCGCAGTAGCCCTTGTTTCATGTGCAACGACATAACAGTGTCTAAATTCTTTTCCAATTGCTTAGGTCAATCGCCTCTTTAATAGCACCAGTTAATAGGGCCTTAGTATACCTGCAGTAACCTATTGTGGTACCCATTACTGGGTGGGGGATTGACCCAACCAAAACCCTAAACCCTAAACCCTAAATCCTAAACCTTAAGCCCTAATTAGTAGCAACCATCAAATTCGGGCTGTAGGGCTTTTGGGGTCCAGGTGATGGTTTTTGCACCGGCAAGGTTGTCGCAATGAGCATTACAAGCTGGCTTTGGGATGTAGTTACAACATGATCTATAGGGTTTAGGGTTTTGGTCTAAACTCCTGAAAGGGGGTTGTATTGGGGTTATAATCGGGAGTATTACAGGGGTTACTAAGGGGGATGCTAGGAGTTTAGACTATAGCTTACATGTACTCCTGGGGAAGTTTAGAGCTGTTATTTACAAGGTCCTGAAGCCTGAATGACAATAATAGCCCTCATTTTTTCCATTCCCCCCTAGGCCTATATGCTATTACAATATTAATCATCAAATACCAGTATTAATGACATGTATAACATTAGTCATAATATTGACAGTGGTCGCAATAATTCCCTGAGCTCCCCCAACCCTAAACCCAAAAGCCCCAAATCCCCCAAAGTCCCAGCGCAGTTCCGGGGCGAGCAGCGGTGCGAGCCCCGCCCGGTTTTCGTGGGTGGCAAGGACGGGGGAGCAGCTCGTTGAGGGTTTAGGGTTTAGGTTTCTACTGCAGAAGCAAATGCCTCCTAGAGTTGCAGTACAATGGGCTCCACGGGCTTGTTCCAACTATTCATGTCCCTGTAGTACTGGCTTTCTAGGAACGCTTCAGGAAATGCAAAATGAAAAAGTCTTATTCTGTTCTTGTTGCTACTTGTATGATGTCATAGAAGTAGTAAAGCTGCTCAGATCCTGAGGTTTCATGGCGGTCGTGATGGTGAAGCAGGGAAAGGTGTTATGTTCTCCTAAGTATTCATGTCTGGTGTGCATGCGTGGGGCTAAGCTCCCTCTCAACGTGAGCGAAAGCCCACAGAACATGAAGATTCCTCCACTGATATCCGCATTTCCTGCTGAGAAGTGCATTATATCTCTCCTTGTGCCTTCAGGAGCGACAACCCTGAAACCATAACATACCCTAAAGCCCCAAAGCTGCCAGGCTCAGTGTATGCCCACACCGAGAGAGTCGCCTTTGCCATCAGATCTTGCTCCTCGTCAAGACGGGAATTTTTCGACGAGGGTGTAGGTTGACCATCAACGAATTTGAAGGCGCGGTGCCTTTTAGCTTTGTATGGAGATCGTTTTAGGAATTCCAGATGGGCACTCTTCTGGCACCTCTTTCGCGTTGCTTCCGGGCCTTGTTTGTTCTTGGACCAGCTCGTTGCCAAAGCTGGGATCCTGCAACTAGTCTGCGAGAATGCCTTACCGGATTCAAGAAAACAAACGGCATTTGTGATAGCCAAGTGTTTTATGTGTGTAATTTACGCAACTTTTTTCATTGCTGCAGAAATCTTCGACATGTTATCATAGTTGTCCTGACTTTCACGGTGGTAACATTCTAATCACTGGCTGCTTCATTTAGTGGCCTTGTATCCAAATCGGTCCAGACTCCCCAAGTCATCATGCAACGTAGAGTGATGCTTGCAGCTGCAGGGATAGCATTAGTTCTCAACTATGCACTCTGTTTGGAAATCTCAAAGTGTATCGCCTCAGAATATGTTCCTCATATCGGAATTTCACAAGTAACGTCTCTCAAAAGGCCGCTAGTGTTTCAGATGCAGCTTCGACAGTTCAGACTGTTTAGACAGGTTTTACATACCTAGCGTTTTATGACATGCCTCCCTCAACCGTAAATCCATAACCGTGTGTGCAATACAATGCGTTGCCAGCCAACACCATATAACTCTTTTATAACCCCATCATAATATAGTAGTTTCTTTTTTCCCCATTATCCCAATATTACCCCAATGGCACACAGTGAGCTTTGGCATGAGGAAGCTCAAAGCCATGGCAGGAACCGCCATTTTCAAAATCCCTTCTGAGTACGCGCTCGTTGCTTTGTTACAGATCTGGTGGTTTCCCAGAATAAGGGGACCCCAATAAAGAACCCAAAGTGCTATAATCCTTCATAGTGGGATCCCCAAAAAAGGTACTGCTGATTTTGGGAAGCCCCATATCTTCTACAGTTGGATTTCTGGACCCTTGGCCATCCTTGGGCAACCCTGAACTCAACATATTTCAGATCCAAACATGCATTACACTTCCGGGTCTGCGGGGACTTTGAGGTGGATTATAGCTTATAGCTGAAGCTCCTGTTGGGTTTCGACTACCCTGGCCCTCCACGCCCACCTCTGCGATCATAATCCTTGCCCCCCTGATTCCAACGCCTTAGGCAATGAAGCGTTCTGTTAAGGAAGTTAAATTAAGTTACTATATTGGGGAAACCCTCTTATTTACTATATATACCCATTATGGTAACTTAATTTAAGTTCCTTAGCAGCAACCCAGGCAATGAAGCGTACTTGGGTCTGCGAGCACCGGTGGGAAGGTGTAGCTGGTCTTATAGCCTCTTGGCTGGCGACCACTTCGGCTGAGGGGGCCAGAGTTTAGGTGACACATTAGTTGACAGCAGTCCTCCTTGAACAAGGTAGTGATATGAAGCTAGGAAGTGCCACAAAGCCTACGCGACCCCTACCCTTCTCTCCATGAGCTGGTTACTGGGGTCTAATTGCCTTGCATAACATACATAGTTGGGGCTGTGATGAGTTGGCATCTCAATGCAAGTTGACATTTGATTCGGTACCTTGTGCTGTCGGCATTCTACATGGGATTCAATGGCTTGAGAAGGGTATCCTGATGCAAGTGGGATAAAGTAGGCTTGGCTTACATCAGCGATCGAGGGTCTGAGATTCTTCTTGAGTTGTAAGGATCTTTGGAGCACCGTGCTTGGAACTTGAATGGGGCTTGCATGTATTCCCTGTGGTGTTGCATGATGTGTACATTGCACGCCGTATGCTCAGTCTTGTTCACCCCCCAGAGCAAGGAGAACTACCCTAGTTCCAAGTTTTCAAGCCCGTGAACCTTCAGCTGCTCTACATTGGTCTGTAGAGTAACTTTCCAGCTCGTTCAGGACTCAGCTTGTAGTAGTTCCTTGAGGTTAGATCTATGGCGCAGGCTTCTGAGGTTTGGGCACTCGAGTCCAAGGGTCTAAGGCTCCTTAGCGTTGGAGGTCATAGTGCTTGAACTTTTTGTAGGACCCTGAATAAGATTTAGTCCTGGAATGAACCCATTTCATCAAAAAGGGCGTCTGATGGAAATTGAAGGGTATGCTACCCCGTCCTTCGTACATCGCCAAAACCCCTTTTAAACTTACAGCAGGTTGGTAGGGAAAAAGGGAATATAATCCCTATCCAATCCCTATGTAATATACTCGCCCATTCTCTGCAAACCCCGCGTAAGTAAAGGAGCGTAAGGAAACCCAATGCTCCTATTGACCTTAAACCCTAAACCCTAAACCCTAACAAATCGAAGGGTTGTAAAAAGCAAGCCCCAATGCTCCATGACTGGCAGTTTCTGGCCTGAGGAGTTCCGGAAGGCCTGCCGTGGCTTAGCAGTGACGAGAAGCTGGAAGGTTGGATCCTAAAGCCATGTGAGCTATGAACTCCTTCATGGGGGTTATTTAGGAGATTATGTGGATTTGGAGTTTACGGTTTAGTCTAAACTCCCGAAAGGGGGTTACATAGGGAATCTTATGTAGGGGAGTATGATAGGGGTTTCTCAGGGAGATGCTAGGTGTTCTGACTATAGCTCAGGTGCAGTGGGGTGGTTTTAGGGGTTTAGGGTCCAGGCTGAGGAGTGTAGGGGTTTAAGGGTTTGAGGGTTCTATTGGTTTAGAGGCACTTTTTTGGGGGTTTTTGGTTTCGGTGCTTAGGGTTGAGGTTTGAGAATTTGAAGGAAAGTGTATTGAATGGGCCTAAATCATCGCAATCATATTTTTCTGGAGGAAACTCGATTTTCAGGATCTGAATGGAATAATCTTTGCTAGTTGGTTTAGGGGTCAGTACTTAGGTCTAGGATTGGTCCTCCTTCTTGAGCTTTCCAAAAGATCTTACAAGGGAAGGGTG